AAGGGAAAAAAAAAAAAAAAAAAAATGGAAAAAAAAAAACCAACCGTTGATGAATTTTTTTTTCTTCATATTTTTTTTTTGTTGGGCCGGTGGCAAAACGCTGTTCCGCCATGTTTTTGTGGTAATAACATCTATTCGTGTTCCAGCATGTTGAGCGAATCATAGGTCAGATCGCTGTTGCAAGCTGCGGTCGCGACAGGTCAGCAAGTGCTCCCGAGTGTATTCCCGCGATCCCTCATTCATCGTTACCGTTGGGAGAGAGAGATCATCATGCCCTTTCTTGGGAGCCATCGTAGAGTGCTATTCGGTGTGCTGGTCCTTTTGATGAACCAAGGCCGTCTTACCTTCGTTGGCTCGCTACGTCCTTGTGTTCCAGCCGCGATGCTCGTGGCTCATCACGTCCCGAAGGCTCTATTTTCAAAATGAGATCGATCAGGGCGTGATCGGTGCCCGAGCTCCCGGGTTTCAAGAGATCGCAGTATGTTGCACTCGGTGCCCCGATTATAATCCTAAGTGTGTTATGCAGGATCACACGCATGCATCTCGTCACTTTGTTCAACCTCATCTTGAGCAGTTGCCACACTCGACTGATCCTGATTGATCCCAATGTCATGTCCGTCGATCTGCCCAATAGATGATCAATCGAAACACGCAGTGGCAGTGTCGATACAGCGAACGCATCCATCGACCAATCGCGAAACATGATGAGATCACTCGTGATCGGATGATCGATCAGATCCATGACAATATGCACACCACACACGTGAAGAATCGACCCATCACCAAACTGAAATCGACCACTCGCGATCGGGTGATAGATGCTGTTTGCTGCCCCAACAATATCGCCCCTGAACTGCCAAACGGATAATTAATCAATGCACGAGGCGACAACGTCTGGATCACAAATGCATCCAACTGACCAGGCAATAGATTACTTGCGACCGGAGGATTGCTCGTGTGTGCTGCACCGAAGACGTCGCCGATTGTGTGTTTCGATCATCCCAATGGCAAAACCATAACACACACGGCGATGTGCATGCGTGCGTGTGTGTTTGCGTGTGCGCGTGTGTGTTGTATGAGCACCATAACATGTTTTATGTTTCGCAAGGCGATGTGCATGCACGTGTTTCTTTGCGTCTGCGTGTGTGAGATGCAACCCGTCGGCGAGCGACCTGTTTATCTAACCACCTGATAGTCATGGACTGAACAGTCCATTGGTCAACTGATTGGCAATTGATCAACCACCACACCAACCGCCAACCGAGCAGCCGATCAATCAGCTGATACTGGCAGATTTCATGACAAATCGACTGTTTTGTGCACATTGATCGCGGAGAATCCAAAAGGCAAATGATCATGTGCACGATCAAAACCCGCGAACGAATCACACAACCTTCTCACAATCTTGTCGCACATCGAAAGTCGATCCCGATCTGCGAACGGAAAAAAAACACTTTGTCACAATCTTGTTGAACATCGAACGTCGTATAACATCGAACCCGGCTCCACATCAAACCTCGGCGGGTGTCGAACCTCGTCGGACGTCGAACTTTGGAGGACGTCGGGTCATCGACACTTGACAGTCACTGAACGGCGAACGTGGAGCAGCCACCACCCCACGCATCGCCGAGAAAGTCCTCGTCATCGGAACGTGACCGTCCTAATCCGCCAGCACAAACTTGGCAGTGCCAACCGAAGTGATCGCGCAATCAAACACCGGAAGAAGTCCGTATTCCAGCGAGCTTGAGCAGCTGTTCGAACACGGTTCGCAACCCCGGACCGCAACCACATCCGCAGGCGTGTGAAAATTTGAAGTCCGCTGGGATCCGAACTTCAAGAAATTGTCGGACAGCGAGTTTGGCAAACAGGTGTGTCCCTCCCGTGCAATTTCACGAAGTTCGGACCCCGGCGAACTTCAGGTTTCGGCCTTTCGCAAGACATGTTTGCAGCTCGCCAGCTGGCCTGTGGATCCGAACCTCGCTTGCACGGTTCCTTGCACAGTCGTCAACTCCGGACCTCGGCGAACTTTGGGTTTGTGAAAATGCGAAGTCCGCTGGGATCCAGACTTTTCCTTCACGGTACCTCGCAAGAACGTCAAGTTCGGACCCTGGCGAACTTCGTTTTTCGAATTGTGTGGGTTCCGGTTGCGGACTTTCTAGCGCCCGAGGGATTGGCACAACTACGGATTCAAAAAATGTGAAGTCCGCCTGGATCCGAACTTCTTGCGCACGGCTCCTCGTTCAGTCACCGAGTTCGCCGGTTGTTTCTCTCCCGCACGGTTTCGCCAAGTTCGGATCCCGGCGAACAACAGGTTCCCGACTTTCGCCAGACATTTTTGCGGCCCGCTTGCCCTCCCGTGGATCCGAACCTTGCGTGCCCGGTTCCTCGCACGGTTGCCAAGTTCGGAACCCTGTGGACTTTGGATTCGTGAGAATGCAAAGTCCATCGGGATCCGAATTTCTCGTGAACGGTTCCTCGTGCACTCGTAAAGTTCGGACCCCGGCGAACTTCGCTTCCCGCATGGTGTGGGTTTTGTCTGTGGGCGTTCTCGCACCCGGTGCTTTGCCACAACTTTTGTTTCGCAGAAATGCGAAGTCCGCCGGGATCCGAACTTCTCGCGCATGGTTCCTCGTCCCATCGTCGAGTTCGCCAGCTGTGTCTCTCCCTCGCAATTCGTGTTTGCGGCCAGCCTGCTGGGCCGTGCATCTAAAACGGCCGTGCATCTAAAACTGCCGTGCACGGTTCCTCGGACAGTCGTCAATTTCGAATCTTGGCGAGCTTCGGATTCGAGAAAATGCGAAGTTCGCTGGGATCCGAATTTCTCGTGCAAGGTTCCTCGTGCGGTCGTCAAGTTCGGACCCAGGCGTACTTCAATTTTTGGGTGGTGTGGGTTCTGACTGTGGGGTTTTCTGGCGGCCGATGGATAGCCACAACTTCGGATTCTTAAAAATGTGAAGTCTGCCGGGATGCGAACTTCAAGAACTTTTGGGACGCCGAGTTTGAGAGACACCTTTGTTTCTCCCGCGCAGTGTCGCCAAATTTTGATCACGACGAACATGAGGTGCCCAACTCTCGTGGGACATGATTGCGGCTGGCCGGCTGGCCGGCAGATGTGAACACCGACCAGGTCGCCCGCCCGAAATCGGATCTTCGAGCGTGCGTTCCGTCTGATGCCAAGGGTCGCAGATCGCGAAACACGACGTGTTTACGAGTGTCTCCATGCCCGTGTGTGTCGTTTGGCATGTGCGCGTGTTGTGTAGGGTGTGTAATGGAGGCGACCTTCTCGACACAACAAATCGTGGAGGCGATCTTCTCGACACCACAGACCATGAGTCCCGAGACGCACATTCGCTTGGCAGAACCGTTTCCTCCTTGCGAGCGATCCGTGCGGTATTTTAACGGTGTAACTACGATCCACGGAGCGACCGCAGAGGACTTCGACGAGGGCCCCTGGATGACCGTCGTCCCGTGCCTGGAGGGGCATGTTGACGGCTGGTGCGATCGGAATTGGGCCACGATGGCCAGTCGTTGTCCTTGGGCAAGCCAGTACAAGTTCGCCAACATGTTGGAGTTCGGAAACCTCATCCCGGTGTCTGACGCTGTCCTCGGACACAAGTTCCTGAACCACATGTGCAGAGTACTGGGCTGCATTAGTCGCCATTTCAGCCGCCTCGAGTGCCACTACGTTAGGTCCTCGCCATGAACTTGGGGATGCTCGCGGAAACAAGAGTTGGTGGACTGCGCTCGCCACTGCTCATTCCTAGAGCAGTACCCGCTCCGCTGCCCCGGGAATTCTCCACAAGCTGTGTCATACTGTTGTGTGCGATTGACTGTGTCCGGGTCTGATTTCGCCAGAGTTCTATGTGTCGCTGCTTTGAACAAGAGCAGAAAACTCGTCGATGCAGTTGTGTTTGTATCACGCAATGAGGTGGTGATTGAGGGGTCCAAATTCGTGGAGACTCTCGGGCCTGAACGTGTAGATGGGTGGCGTGATTTCGTTATAGGATGGCGGGCCCGAAACTTTTCGATGCATCGTGAGGTCGAGGAGAAAGTGTGCGATATACAGGACTGTATAGAGAATTCCTTAGCACGACCGGGTGTGTTTGTTAGGATGAAATACATGTTCGTCTTTTCCGAGATGGCATCGGTAAACGAACCGCAAATCCACGTATACGGATCATCAATGAATGCTTTGTATGGCTTCGGTTCACGACGTCGTCCCAGGGGAACCCCGAATGTCGACACATCTGAACAGGAGGTCTATCTCTGACGCCATCTCCTTCACTGTCGCACCCCGACGAAGTTCGGATCCCGGCGAACTTCGCGTTTTGGGGTGTGCGTTGATTTGGTTTCGGTACTGTTGGCGTCAGGCGGGCCGCACGAACCAGCGGGGCCCACAGGCAGGGTCTTGCTTGAGGTCGCAGACCCGTTCGACTGACCTTCGAGCTACAAGTGCTTGCCGGAGACCAAAATCAAGCTGGGCGCGGCGTTCATAAAAGATTTGCGACCAGTTCTGCCTGTGCACGTTCGCGATCTGAGACCGCCGCCAACCCAAGTGCAGTGTGCCCTGTCCGTGTTCGGTTGCCGGCCGTCCACCATCGACATGTGCCAAACAGTCGATCATTGTGGTTGAGAAATGCCGAAAGCACTCTTAGGGATCCCAGTCGCAGAGTTCGACGCCGGCCGAACAATTCTGAAGTTCTCCCTCTAACACCTTGCTCGGACCACCTCTTGCGTCTGACCTCATACGTGATCCGGTATTTCTCTCTGTGTGTCTTTCTCGAAGCATCCTTAAGTTCGGATCTCGACGAACTTCCTGTAACGCCTGTCTATTGGACACACACTGGTCTTCCTGATCCCCAGTGGATTGCGACAACAGTTTCTGTCCTCCCTGCTCCACACATTCCGTTCTGCCCCACCAGGGACTCGTACAATGTTGTCAAGGTTGCTGCGCATATCAGAACAAGTTCGGATTTCGGCGAACTAATCCTTCTCAATCGGCCTCTTATGTTTGTGTGCCATTCCCAGGTCGTTTTTTGTCCACGGATCGTGTGCCTCTGACGCCGTCTCTGCTTGTCGCATCATCCTTAAGTTCGGATCCCGGCGAACTTCACGATTCGGGAGGTGCGTTGGCTTGTCTTCGGACATGCCCGTTCGCTGGTTCGCACAACCCGCCCGGCGACGGGGAGAGTCCGTTTCCGACTTCTGGTTTTGATCAAATGAATTTGCGGAGTGTGTTCGCTCGAGAACGGTTCAAGAACGCCGACTGCATGGGCTGGCTGTTTCTCTCTTTCTTTCGCACCGTCTTTTAGTCTGGACCCGGGCGGACTTCGCGTGCTAGTCTGTCCGGGTTCCGTGTGCTGGGCGGAGGACACTGCACCGTCCAACACGAGCTTCGAACATGACCGGAAGTCCTTTGGTTCGGATCCCGACGAACTTCTCGATTTTCCCTATGCGTTGGTCTGTCTTCATTCTTCCGGTGTGCCGTCTCCCGCATGAACAGCGCTTGATCCCCGACACTCTGCCCCTCCGCCTCGTGCACTTTTGAAATTCGGATCCCGGCGAACTACCCATTCTAGTCGTTCCGAAGTTGGGTTCCGAGTTGTCTTTGCGTGCGGATTTTGCTGCGCAAGAGCCTGCGTTGCCATGTGCCGCCGACTGTTCTGTTCCTGATGTGTTTTCCCAAACGTTGACTGCATGGTGCGTGGTGTGATTTGGGTTGTCGTTCGCAGACAGCATGTCTTCTTCAAAGGGCGAGGTGGAGCCAACGGGGACCTCCGGGAAGACATCCGGAAAAGATTCCATGAGGAGGTCCTCTACTGCCACGAAAGGGTGGTCAAACTATTCGAAGTCGAAATGGTTCATCGACTGGTGTTGCGGAGACGCTTCCAACCCCACTGCGCAGCCATGTGGTCCTGTCATCTTCGTCGATGACGGCAGAAGGCGTCGAGTGCTTGGGGCCGTCTTGGGGTTGGAGGACGCGAAGGGGGGCCGGCAACATTTCCGTATGGAAAAGTTTATGGCTCCAAAGGCAACGTTGTTGCTAATTCGAAAGGGGTGTTGCTGGACCTCGAATTGTGTGAGGGGTTCGGAGCGGGTGCTGTGGACACCCTGTTCTACAGAGAACTCATTCTCGTGGGTTGTTTTGTTTTGGCTCGCGAGTTTTTCGACAAGCTGGAGGACAAGAACATCGTTCTCGACGTCCCCTGCGACGCCGTCCCCTCCCTGGAGCTCTCGTTGCCGTTCAGGCCGTGCGGCGGTTGCGAGTCAAGCGGGGCGGCGGCGGAGGGCGGTGATCTGGGTTCTGGTCCGGCTACTCAGCTGCACCGTGGCAAGAGTCGGGGACAGTTCGATGACAGCGAGGACAAGAGGCCTACTGCGCCATTGAGCGACAGGCGGCGGTCTGTGTTGTCTATTCCAGGGGTCGACATTGGCGATCCAATTCACCGGGAGAGTGCGGAACCTACAGGAAAGGTGGCAGCCTCTTCGGAGGTCGACTTGGAGGCGAGTGAGGGCCAGAGTGTGGATGAGGTGACCGTGGGCGGCCTGGGCATGCAAGGCACTCCGCAAAAGAGGAGGGGGGATCGCACAGACGAGTTCATTGGTTCTGCGAAGAAGCTGAAGAGCAAGGCCCCCAGGACTGCGGGAGAGAAACGAAAGGGAGCCGAGGGGGAGGAAGGCCGGCAGGTTGCCAAACAGCCGGCTTCGAGACAGAAGCAGCCTGCGTCTGGAACGTCTTCTCCACCGACGGAAAGGCCTCCAATCGACGTCGACACCGGGTACTTCCTCGAGTACAAAGACGCCGTTCGGACAAAGAGGGAGTTCGAGATTAACCTTGCGCAGGTCGTCGACCTCGGAGAGTGGGAGGACCTGTACAACCAGCGGTTCCTGGATCCCGTGCTCGTGGAAGGGATCAAAGAAGCGATGCAGTTGGCATTCGAAAACAAAGCGCAGTCTTACGATTTGCCTACCCTGAAGCTGGTACCGCTGGGGCTTGATAAACCGACTCCGGGGACCAAGGCAGAACGTCTGAGGCCGGAGGAATGGAGGGATGAGCTGGCGGGGCAATACTACTACTACGCGGTGTGTGGGAAGCACAACGCGGCTGCAGCGAGGTGGCCAGGAAATACAATTTCGAGCGATGGCCTGCACTAATGCTCTACTTTTCAAACGACGACTTCGAAGCGTACTTCCTTGTCAGTTCCCAGGACAACAAGAAGGACCTGAAGGCGCCCCTGAGACAGCTGAAGCTGTCAATGAAAGACATTAGGTGGCAGTGGAAGCGCGACGGGTGTCCGTGTGCTGTTATGGGAAACCCCAGCGGAAAACAGGCTCAGGTCCGAAAGTGGCGTGAATTCTGCGAAGTCGCGCTCAATATGACGCCGCACAACAACTTGTGAACGCTGGCAGATCAGAAGGGCGACGACGCCATCAGGAAGAAAGGCGCTGCCCTGCGTTCCTATTTCCCGCTGGCGATGGCAGGGGAGAACGTATGGAAACTGGCCGTCGACTTTTTCGATAAATGGGAGACCGGTAGATTGCTCGGCCACGATGGCGCAAAGTGGATCATGCGGAAGAAGAAGGTCAAAAATGTGAAGCCCGGGGTTGCCTATGTCGAGAACGACAAATCGGGCAGGAAAGAGGTCGTGTACAACGTCCCTGTGGACCCGCCGACAAAGAAAGGCAAAAAGGAGAAAGAGGAGGGCGATTGGTTCGTCCAAGTGCCTGAGCCAGGCGCACATTGTTCGAAAGCGATGAAGTCGCTGACCGACAACGAGAAGTGCCGCGTCCTGAAGAAGGTTCTCGCTTGCGAGGTGGTTTGGGTCCAGGCCGGCTCCGCGGCGTTGGCGAAGCTCGGGAAGCTCAGCGTCCAGGACATGGTTCATTTGCTGAAGTGCGAACGGGTGCTGGTGCGTCTATGGAACTACTACCTGTTCAAGCACGAGAAGAGGGCGAACGCGGATTGGAGCCAAAGGTGCCCGTTCCTGAAAACAAGGTCAAACAGTTTGAGAGTCGTGGTTTGGATGCAGAGTTGTGGGACGGGAGCAGGAAATACGTGGCTGACTCCTCGTTGTTCAAGGACTACCCGCCTTACATGGGCTGCGACGACGACCAATCCATCGAGGCGACGGAGAAGTTGGCCGGTCACAAGAAGCTGTCCGTCGACTGGAGGAATAAGGTCCTGTCCGTTTTGACTGGCAGTAGACTGAAGAGTCAAGAGATCGCGCTTGCCGAAGGAATTGTGCACATAAAATGGAAAGACACGGGCGACGTTACATCCATCGCGCCATTCGGCAACGACCCCTTGGAGGCAGACATAAGGTGTGCGGAGGTGAAGGAGGCGGTGGTTGCCACAAAGAGTCACACGTTCGTTCTCGATCTCTGCGAACCGGTGGACCTGAAGATGTGGAAACGGCAAGCGTTCGACACTCTGGATTCCCAACTTCAGATGTGGTGTCCGTCACATTGGACGCTCGTCGTTTTCGTCCCGCGGTAACAAAACCTCTCGTTTCTGGCCAGCATGAACCACCTTTCTTTCGTGAAGATGCTGGCAGGGAAGTGGGTGAGGAAGAGTCAACAAAAGAAAAGTTTCCCCATCGGGAATAATTTGTACACGGAAGACGACCGGATGTACATACTCTTCAAAGGCGATGATTTGCGCGCTAACACGTCCATCGTCTACGAGGGGAAACTGCCGCCTGCCACCGCTGCTGCAGTGCGGCTGCCACAGAAGGTTACGCAAACGGATGTGTCCGACATCCCGTTCAACCCTTGCGATTGGTCGCATGTCTCGCCTACGCGTCGGGGCAGTGTGTACGGGGACATGGAATGCAACCCCGCGAAATTCGTTAATCTTCTCGAGTCCGTCACCAAGAAGGGGGAGGGTGTATGCTTCCTCGGGAAGCCACACACGCGATCCGTGTGGGAACTGCTGAAGGCAGGACGGCACGTCATTGCAATGGAAGGGAACTTCGAGCTCTTGCAATTTACAATTGATCTCGTCAAAAGCGAGGTCAATTCCGGTGCCCATATTTGCGAGTTCATGGTCGTCAACGAGTCTCGCCCTCGCGCGTGGAACAACAAGACGGACATGTGGTTCAAGTTGAGTGCGAGGAAGCGGAACAAGATATACGACTTCTTGTTCCTGCAAACGCGGCCCAAGAGAGACACTGACGCCGAGTACGTGCGCCGCAAGGATCACATGTTCACGCTGCTCGACAACTACCACGACGCCTCCCGCATGAACGCAAAGACCTTCCTCGAGAGGTTGCAGTCCCTGTACTTCGTGGAGTCAGAGGAGGAGTTGTCGTTCCGCAGTTACTCCTCCTTGATCTCCACGGAAGACGAGGAGACCACCGGCATCGAGTTCGACGCGACCGCGAACAAGGAGGGCAGCGACACTGAAAGCCTCGACCTACAGTACGACCCGCATCCCGGGCAGCACACAACAGGGTCGTCCTTCGCAGGTTCGTCAACAAGCCCGACATCCTTCGTCTCACCGATGGCGAAAGCGGCGCCTGGCACTACCCTGATGAAGTTGCTGCAGAGAATGCAAGCTCTGGCCTCCAGCCATCGCTCACTGCGTCCCGGGTCTGACATTCCGGCCGATCAACTGTCTTGGAAGGATGCCAACATTCACTTCCTGCCTGAGCCTCAAAGTCGTTCCACGGAGGCGGACTGGGGCCATGACATGATTTGGCATGCAGGAGTCATCCAGCCGGCGATCCAAAAGGGTGAGTGGATCGTGGCCGTCGCTGTCCCGGACGGAGGATGGGTGCCCCTCCCTCGTGGGTCCAAGTCTGACTTCCTTGACGTCGCTAGAATTGCGGTCCTCCAGAAAGTGAGGGCCGAGAATGACTCTTTCGCACCCGAAGACGTGTCCGTCATTTCCACAGTCGGGCGATTGTTCGCCGAACTTCAGGACAAGTGCTGGTTGGAGCTGACGGAGGACTACTACGACCTCGATACGAGCCCCTCGAAGGGAAGGGTGGACTGGAAAATCCCCCCTCCCAGTGGGAACCATGTAAGTACAGGGTCCCGGGGACCGGACGGTGGGGAGAACGAGGGCGACGAGGCTGGTGGCGGCAAAGGAGTCCCGCCTGGTTCGGAGGGCGGGTCTCAGGGCGACACCACGACAGTGGAAGGCAGCGGCGGGGTGGTAGGGGAGGCCTTCGGGCGTCAGCAGTCTACCGGTCCCGGTCCGGCAAGCTCGGCACAGTCAGCGGAAGTGCCCACTTCATCCGCCAGCTCGGTGATGGCGGCCTTGGTTGCTCTCCGTGCCGGCTCGGGCGAAACGTTCAAGTCCGCCGGGATCCGAACTTCAATGCTTGCAGAGCGGATGAAGAGGACGAACGCGCAGAGCTTGTCAGGAGCGGGGGTGGCGAGTCGTGATCCCAAAATGGACAGCGGTGCGGTGAGGGACGGGACTGCGCCGCCTGCGGGGGACCGCCAACTTCTTCGGTCGGAGCGAGAGGGTACGTGTGGAGGGCCCGGCGACAGAGAGACGACGAAGTTCGCCGGGATCCGAACTTCTTCTGGCAAGGGGGGCCAACCAAGGATTATCGTGCCGGCGGGAGGGGTTGCGTGCGGCGAGCGGGAAGGGCATTCGTCGGAATTCGACACGGGTTTGGGCGAAGTGGCTGGATTGCATGCACGGGAAGAAGGCAGGGTGATGGACAAAGAGAAGGAAGGGGAGGAAGGTGACACAAGGGAGGAATTGGAGGAAGGAGGGGATGAAGGGGAGGAAGAAGAGGATAAAGGGAAGGAAGGAGAGGAAGGGGAAGAAACGGAGTTGGCTGGGTTGCTAGGAGGGAATGACGGGGAAAAAGGCGAACTCGATACTGGAGACGACGAACGGACGTTCGGCGACGACGATGACAGATTTGGGGAGTCGTGTGACGGATTCGGGCAGCTGTACGGAGAACATTGCGAGGAAGACGACGACGACGATGACACGACACTGGGTATGGAGACACAGGTGGTCACAAGCCTTTCGGCAGAACGTGATGACTATGAGGTCGAAGCAATGACGTCTGCCGTCGATCTCCAACAACGGTTCAACGACGCTAGTGTTGCAGTCAGCCTGAATAAACCGAGTGTGCGTTTTGACATCAAAGAAGTTATCGACCACCACATATCCGCGCAGCCGTCCTCTATGCCTGGTGTCGACGACCCTCTCGACGTCAAACCTTCCGGGGGATCTGTCGTGGCTTTGTCGCCGACGAACTCTCCGATGCTGCCGCCGACCATCGCCAGCGGAGGAGAAGGCGAGATCGGGGGGCGACAAGACGTCACATCCTCGAAAAACACTGTCGCTGGCACTCGAGCTCTCGACGTGCTGGCCTTGCCCCCCGCCAACTTCGCCGATTAAGGAGCGGAGAGACAAACCAGCTGGTAAGCAGTGACAAACACCACTCTGTCTGTGCACCAGTGACCGCAGTGTCTGTCAATGCAGGGAGTTCCTGATGCCGGCATGCTACAACCACCACTCCTTCAAACTTCCAAGTACATGTGAATGACCATCCTGTGAGTCGGCCAGGTCACTGTGTGAAGTACATGTGTGTTTTTGTTGAAGCGTTCCATCACATGATGGAAGGATGGTGTTTCTTTTTCGGAATGAGTGGTGGTTTTAGTCCGTCGGGATCCGCACTGGCAAGGCCGCTGCGTAATGCGGTTACTCTTTTTGTGCCTCGATTGGGAAAAGTCCGCCGGGATCCTGACTTCATAAATGTTTGGCCTCCGCGTTTGTGGCTTGTTGAGGTTTTTCCTTCAGAAGGGCGGGGGTGTCGAGGTCGAACGCACTGCTCCTTTTGTTTTGCAGTGGGGCTTGCGCGTAAGTATGCTCTATCTCTCTCATGGCTGTCCAGGGGTTGGGTCATCTCCCTGGGTCAGAAAAGTCCGCCGGGATCTGGACTACAGAGATGTTTGGCTTTCGCTTTTGTGACTTGATGTGCTTTTCCCTTTTGAAGGGCGAGGGTGTCGAGCTCGAGTGCACTGCTCGTTATGTTTTGCAGCGTGGCTAATGCGGAAGTTCTCTCTTTCGCACTCTCATGGCATGACGGGGTTCTGTAATTGCATAGGTCCTGCGTCTTTTAGATTTCGTGGTTCTTTTATTGTCCTTTCATGGGGTTCTTCTTCGGAAACGTGTATTCATTTTCCGTTTTGTCTTTCGTCTGTTGTACAGGGGTAGGGTCGTCTCGAACACGGAGACCCTCTAAATATCCCGAACACATATTGCCGACAGTCCCGGGGTTGACGACAAAACACAAGGACATGTTAAAGGCGTCAGGGGTTGATGTCGAAATCGGAAAGAAGGAGCATGCCATTGCCATTGAGGAGTGTCTTTCCCTTCTGCCCCCAGAGAAAGGGAGATATCCACGATTTGTGACTAGGGGTCAGGCCATGTATGAGAAATACTTAGCTACTCATCGTGCGATGAAGGAGAAACCTTAGAGTTCCGCTTCTCACTTCCCCCCCTGTCCTTAACTCGATGTTGTCCAGTGCGGGCCACGACACCTGGAACAACAGTGACTGCGATTGAAAGCTTGCGGATTTTGGACGACATTGAACTAGGCTTGGTGCCACCTGACACTGTACTCTCGACCCTCGGCGATGGTCAGTTGCGTATTGCAGCGAAGGATATTCTAACCCTCTCACTTACGGACGGCAGGGTGAATGATGAGGTCGTCAACTTTTACATGGCGCTATTGGGAACGACCGCATATCGGATATGTGACATCCCGTCACGCCTTCGAGTCTTCAGCTTTAATTCTTTCTTCTTCAGTAAACTGCAACTTCAAGGACACGGCGGGGTGGAAAGATGGGCTAAAAACGTGGATCTGATTCAATATGATATTATCTTAGTTCCGGTCCTCAAAGATAATGATCACTGGATCCTCCTTTCCGTGAACTTGAGAGATCATGTTCTTGAGATTTTCTATTCTTTTCCTTGCGTTGTAGCCGATTCTAGTTTTTACCTTAGTGTTTTCTTCATCTTTTTTTTTTTTTTTTTTTTTTTTTGTTTTGCATCTTTTTTCATCTTCTTCTTTTTTCATTTTCTCCTCGTTCTTGGTTTTTTTTATTTCCCTGTTCTTCTTCTTCTTTTTTTCCTTTATTTTTTTTTCGTCGTTTTTTTCATCTATATCTTTCTTAGTCTTCTTCTTCTCGACCGCGGCGGCCGACCGCCTGCGGGCGAGCACGGGCATGAAACCTCGAGAATTGTTTCGGGGCCAAAAAATAGGCCAAAAAAAACAAAAAAAATATGGGCGTGTAGATTAAAAAATGCTCTACACACGTATGATTTTTAATAACTTTTTCTGACATTAACTGGAATGAAAAAAAAAAAACGAAAAAAACAATACGAAGATGAAATTTATTTTTTCATATTTTGAAATTTTGGTCTATTGGGCCTGTGGCAAAACACTGGCCCACGCATACACACACCCACACACAATCAATCAATCAAGCAATCAATCAGCGAACCAATCCCAATCAATCAATCAATCAATCAATCAATCAATCAATCAATCAATCAATCAATCAATCAATCAATCAATCAATTTGATTGATTGATTGATTGATTGATTGATTGATGTATTGATTGAGTCAATTTGTGTGCGTGTGTGTGTGTGTGTGTGTGTGTGTGCATTCGCACGTGTGTGTGTGTGCATGTGTCTGTGTGCGCGCGTGTGTCAGTATGTGTGTGTGTGTGTGTGTGTGTGTGTGCGAGCGCGCGGGAGGGCGCGCCTGTGTGTGTGCGTGCGCGCATTCAATAAAGGAAAAAAAAAAGAAAGCTAATGGAATGAATCTTCAACTAGAACATCGAAATATACAATCCTACCCGTGTGTGTGTGTGTGCGCCTCTGGGCCAATCAATCAATTAACAATCAATCAATCAATCAATCAATCAATCAA